CCCAATTAAAAAATGGCCAAAGCATCTGAATAGACATTTCTCCAAAGGTCAATATGTACCCAAACAGCTACTCAGTATCATTAGTCATTAGGCAAATGCAAGTCAAAACCACAAGGTTCTATTGCTGGGATCGTGTGTAATTTCCTCAGTTCTGTCTTTGGGCAACAAAGATTTGAAGCTGCAGACCAGTGTTACAGCTTGATCACAGCTTAAGGTTTTATTCAGCAACAAAGAAGAGTACATGCCGGAGGCATAAGTGCAGGTGGACCCCAAAGGAGAGGCCCCAACCTGGCTTGGCTTCTGCTTTTTATATGTTTGTCTCCTCCCCCCAAGCCTGCCCTATGCAAATTAAGGCTCACAGGAAGAGGGCGTGTTTGTTTCACCCGAGGGTCTCAGAACACTCAGGCTCTCTGATTTTTCTTTTTTTCCCTTTTCACAGGCTTTCCCCTTTGTCTTTTAGCCACTGCCATTTTGGACTCCTTTTTCCTATTCTAACTGCCTAACACTATAATACACCCTAAGATGGACAGTAACAAGTGTTGTCCAAGATATGGAGAAATTGAAAGTTTCATATGTTACTGGTAAGAATGTAAAATGACACAGTCATTTTAGAAAATGGCCTGACTCTCTCACTGAGAGCTCTGACGAGCTCTCACTTGTACATGAATGTTAATAGCAGCATTATTTATAATAGCCCCAAAGTAGAAATATACCCATATACCTATCAACTAATAAAATGACAAATGAAGTGTGTTATATCTATAACAATGGATTATTATTTGGCAGTAGAAAAGAATGACACATTGATACATACAACAACACAAATGAATCTTGAAAACCTTATGCTCCGTGAAAAAAACTAATCATGAAAGACCATATTACTTAATATCATTAATATAAAATGTCCAGAAAAGGCAAATTTATACATGTAGAAAGTAAATTAGTGGTTTCTTAGGACTAGAGGTAGAGGGAAATGGGGAGTGATGACTAATGGATATAGAGTATCTTTTGGGTGACAAAATGTAAATTAGGTAATGATGAAAGTGATATACTGTCTATGAATATTAAGAACAATTGATTGTATACTTCAAATGAGTGAATTGAGTGGTCTGTGAATAATGTCTCGATAAAGCTGTTTAAAAACTTAAAGCAGTAAAATTAGGGCAAGATAAGGACATATTTTCTAGCATAATGATAGTATAAATGAAATATATTTTCCCTCTATAAACCAAATAACAAGATTTTTCTTTAGCTAAAAATACATTTTTTCTAAAATCTGGGCATAACATCTAGGTTTTGCTCAAAAGTGGAACAGGCAAGTCATTGTGTTCAGTTAAGTTTCTCATAGCTGTGCTTACTTTGGTGGCACACATTCTAAAACTAAAGCAACATAGGGAACATCTAGCATGGCATCTTTGTGAGGGTGCATGTACCTTAGTGCAGTGTCTTATGTATATTTCCTGCCTTTATTGAAGAAAATAAGAGAAGACTTGGATAAACGTGTATAGGTATGAAAATATAATATTGTAAAGATAGCAGTTCTCGGTAAAATCTCTGAAAATGTAATGACGTCCCACTCAAAACTCAGCAGACTTCTTTTGTAACTTTACAATAACTGATTCTAAAATTAATAAATAAGAATGAAATTGCAATAGCAGCCCAAGACCTGCCCCTCCCGCCAACACCCTCTCAAAGAGCATTTAATGTAGTAGAGGATTTGGCCATTGGCATATATAAGAAAGCCATGAAAATGAAAATTGTGTGACTGGTGCAAACAGAGGCAAATATGTGAATGGATCAAAAGAGTGCCTGAAACTGCTTTATGCATGTATGAAAACTTGCCCCGTGTTAGAGATTGCAGTGTCGTTCAGCAGGTTGGAGTGTGATGAGTATAACATGAACAAATGTCAAAGATTTACTTATCAATGACAAAATCAGCAAGATGGTTAAAATTTTTCCAAGAGCATTTGGGGGAACTGAAGAAAGAATGTTTGAATAAGATTTGTTATATACAAGTATACAAAACTGATTAATTTCCTACAAGGCGAAAAAACCATAACCTTATCAAAGTATTTGCATATGTGTCAGACCAAAAAAATCTATAAATTAACATATTATTTTATAAAATATAGACCCTAATGTATAGGAAATAACAAATCAAAGGTATATCCCCTATAAAATGAAATATTCCTTGGGTGGGCCTTTTTGTGCTCTAAGATGGTAGGCATACAATTGAGCCTACCTCAATGCCTGATTGAGCAGGCATACAATCTTTCTTTTGTATTATTTAGAATCTAATGAATAGCTGAAGGACAAGCTATTCATTACTATTGGTATAATTGCCTATGCATAGGGGAAATACTTAAGTTCAGATCACACTGTACACCAAGTGGATTCGAGATATACCTGCATGTTAAACCATTTTCTCCATAATACTAGATAGTTGTTTAAATGAGTGAATGAGATCTAAATACGATTATTTAAAAAAATCTGTAGCATGATGTACTTATTGTGCTATTAATATAAATTTTAAAATACTGTAGGATGTCTGGAACTTCATATACATATATATATATAAAAGCATAAAAAACTAAACTCTTCTACCTCAGAAAAATTAAAAAACCCTAGTATTTTTTTTTAATAATTACTAAGTTCTGATAAATCCAAGTGTTTTCGTGCTTGATAAAGATGCTATAGTTATAGCTTTGAAATATGCACCCTTTACCTGGCACAGCAGACTTGATTTTAACAGGACTTAATTAATTCAGTGTTTTATATGTATATTTATAGTATGTCAAGTTGTTGGGGTAAAGATATGGGTTTTTAAAAATTATCTTGGAAAAAATGGCAAAAGAATAAGAAAAATGAACACATTATCTTATAGCATATACTTAAATTATGAATGGATCAACACATTAAATATTTAGAAAGTAAGCAATGTGGAAAATTATGTTATATAATCTTTGTGGAGGGAAAGTTTTTCTAAGTATGTCTTGTAAATCAGAAATATTAAAGGGAAATGACTAGTTTTGATTAAATAAAAATTTCAATATTGGGGAGAACGTTAAAATTCAAGGTAAGGCAGATGACAAACAGGGGGGCATTTTAATCTACATTTTAAAGAACATGTTTTTCTAGCCCTTATAAATGAACCTATAAGGGAACAGATAGGCAAGAATGGTCCAAAAGATTAGACAGCCCTTTGAATCTGTCTTTTCTCCTTCCTTGCTTGTAAACAGAAATGCCAGTCACTGCCCTGGAGTCTGGTTTATCTGAGTGCTTAGCACTTCCTTGATTCTTCTGGTAAAAAGTTCTTGTGATGGAAAATAACCTTTATTTAAGATACATTTCCTCTTATCCTTGACATTTTATTGTCTCTCACCACCCACAGCTAGCCACTCAAGTAACAAGAACCTTGATTTCCTTTAATTTGATGTATAAAATTTAGGGAACTTGATACGTCCAAGAAAAGATGAATGTTGGATATAAAATATTACCAGGTATTGGGAAGTCAGAAGGTAGAATATAATCAAACTCTACTTAATCTACAATAAAGGCACTGACATTTTAGAATTAAAAACACAGAAAGAAAAAGCTTTCCTACAGGAATGGTCAGTAACTTTTCCCTCTCTGCTCTATAGCTTGTGTGCGGGAAGGTGAACCGTCAGTGGGAGGTTGGAGATTCTGTTATACACAGGTCTGGACTTATTCTTAAGCTCCGTGGAAGTTCCCTTCTCTCCAGAGGACTTGCCTCCATGTGTGTCTGTGAGGGTAGATGTGGGTCAAAAAGTGGCCTAAGATTCTGCAAACCAGATTGGTCTTCACATTTTCTGTGTTACCTCAACATTCTGTGGGGTATATATCATGGGAAATAGGCAGTTTTTTAAATGTAAGATTTTTTACAAAATGCACGCCTTTTACCTCCAGAATTTATCCTTAAGAAATAATCAGGAAAGTGAGTAAAGGGGCTTATTTTAGTATTGTTTGTAATTGTGAAATATTGGGAGGAACTAACATGCCTCAAAATGAGGAATGGGTAACAAATGGGGAACAATGGGTTCCCTCTATTCAGTAGATTGCTGTGTGGACAGTTACCCTGGTAGAGCAACTCTGTGTTGAGAAGAACGGATTCAGGATAAATTAAGCATATAATGAAGGAAACCAAATATTTTATCCTGAAATGAGTATGCATTTTTGACATAAACATCATTTTGAGTTGAAGTCAATTAAGAAGCAGTAAAAACTGAAAAAATTCCCTCTTTCTGCCCAAAAGTAGGACCTAAATTCTCTTTTTACTGGAGACAGACTCTTAGAGTTCAGAGAGTCTGCAGACAAAACATTAGATTAACCCTTATCTTCCTAGTTACATCTTTACCATTTACTCCTAGCCCTTTACCATTTGTCCTGCCAATTCTTCACAGATATATTGCTTCTTTGTCTGAAAGGTATAAAAGATTTCTGCTCTGGTCACTTTTTGGGTCTTCTTCAGTCTCTTCTGGAGATTCACATGTATGTGTATAACTTCACATTTTTATGCTTTTGTCCTGTAGATCTGTCTTTGTCAGTTTGATTTTCAGACCAAGCCAGGGACCCTAAGAGAGTTGATGGAAACTCTTTCCTCCCCTACAATAATATTCCATTTCAATTAAGAAAACTAGAGATAGATACATATATATAGATACACATGGGAAAAGATTTGGAAGGATATATACAAGCTACAATGTTACATTTGGGTGGAGAGTTTTGGGAGGGGCCGATTTCATGAATTTCTTTTTTGTTGGACTGGAATGAAAAGAAAAATAAGTTTATTTTATTGCGGCTGTATTTCAGGAATATTCACTTTAGAATTGAGTATATTTTGCTATTTGATTTGCAAAATTGGTAAGAAATGGAGGTGAGATATTATCAATAACTGAAGGGATTGTGTTGTGTTCTTGAATATATGTAGATTTTTCCTGTAAGAGAAAGAAATGAAAACCTCACTGCCTTTTTATCAACAGGCCTTCTCGTGTAGATATGGCAACAAGCAGCCAGCACTTCTCATCATTCAATTCAAAACAGGCACCGGGACAGCACCGAACGTCTCATGCGAAAAGGTCAGGAAGAGGGTGTGGGTGTTCCTGGGGGGCTGGGGAGAGCACTCCAACCTTTTGGTAAATTGTGATGTCGATGTGACAATAGGAATGGTGTCTCAAAGAGTCGGACACAACTGAAGCGACTTAGCATGCACACGCAAGGTGGGGAGAGGTCTGGGCAGGGGTAGTGTTCATTTTACAAATTAGGGAAGGCTTCTCTGAGCTGCTCGGGCAGGGGTCCCCAACGGCGGGGTCACAGACCGGTACCAGTCCATGGCCTGTTAGGAGCCAGGCCAGATAGCAGGAGGTGAGCAGTAGGTGAATGAGAGAAGCTTCATCTGTATTTACAGCCGCGCTCTGGAGCTTGCATTACTGCCTGAGCTCCACTTCCTGTCAGGCCAGCGGCAGCATTAGATTCTCATAGGAGCGCGAACCCTACATGAACTGCGCTTGCGAGCTCTCTAGGCTGCAGGCTCCTTGTGAGAATCATTCCAACACTTCCCCCCGTCATCCGTGGAAAAATTGTTTTCCCGAAAACCTGTCCCTGGTGCCAGAAAGGAAGAGGACAGCTATGCTAAGGCATTTAGTGAGTAGATGGCCCTGTTACATAAAAAAGCTGAAACAAAACCAGATTTACCTCTTGGGTCACAACTCCCTTTGGGGCCTTTTTTATCTTAAAATTGTTTAACTACTAATTTTATTGTAAAATAATATAACCATATTGCCAGGCATCTGGGAAGGCGGAGGGGAAGATGGAGGAAAGAATTATGAGCACTTTAATACAGACTGTTAGAATTTTGGTATATTTCATTGCTATATCCAGTAGGCATGTGCTGCTGGATATAGGTGTGGTCAAACGTTTTTCATTGAATATTGTGATTATTTTTCTTATTATATTCTTCTTGTAACTTTGACTTAAAAAGGCATTTTAAGAAATTATCAGAGAAAATTCAGGAAATATAGAAAAGCACAAAGAAGAGATAAAATATGTATTACCATTACTATAACTTTTTTTGGTGTGTATTCTTTTTTTTTCTCTTCATATAGAGAGATATTAATAATAATTTTTTCTAAATTGGGATCATATTAATTTTACTCTTCGGTTACCTTTTTGAAGCACATCATGACATTTTTCCTTTCCACTGAATATGTTTTGTAATATCATGTTTGATTAAGTACTATTCCGTCCTGTCTATTTTAAAATTATTTTAGTCAGCTGTCTGTTTTTGAATATGTAAGTTGCTCCTTTATTGGTTATTAAGACAACTCTTTTAAGGTTTTAGTACCATGAAAAAATGCTTTCTATCTGTCCTTACATGCTTATTAAATTTTAAATTATACAGTACATCGTCAGTATTTTAGATTTTCCATTTGAAATTTCAGCTATTTTTGAGTGTGTTCACAATACTTGTGCACTTGGCAGTTTTTCTTAGGACTCAACCCCCACAATATAAGGAAGGGGTGCAATATTCTAAGGATCGAGGAATGGAGATGGAGTTGAAAATAACTTCTTGGGATCTGAAGGCATTTATTTTCTACATTACTTTTTTATTTCATATGTCTCTGTTTATGGAAATCTGAGCTATCTTCAGAAATATGTATTCCTCCCTCATAATTGTTCTCCAGCTGATTCAGTAGTTTCCTAGGTAACCACTGCTTCAACGTTTATAGTGCTGAGTTTGAAAGCTGAGATAAAATAAATTAAAAAAATATTACTGAAAGCAATGATGAATAAATAAAGGGTGTATGTAGCAGTCAGAGATAAGAGATCTGGGCTGGATCAGTAGACTGGGAATTTTCAACATACGTGTAGCTGTTGAAGGCATGAACTGTACATGCTCTTTCTAAGAGAGAGTAAAACATATGAGAGTGGAGAAAGGAGCCCTGTGAATGAATGAACAATGAAAGAACAGCTAATGGAATGATAGCATACTGAGCTATGGAGGTTTGAGGGACAGGAAGATTCTGTGAGATGGTGGCTGCAGTATGCGCAGTGGGTTGGGGAGAGGTGAGTTCTGGAATAAGGTCGGCAGAGCCAGGTACTGTAAAGAGGTCTATATGGATACAGACTGGAAAGCATCTTTTGTATTTGTAGTTAGGTCATCAGAGACCTTTAGCTTTGACGGTTTCAAGGAAATTGCGGCAGGAGCAAACCTGTCGTGGCTGAAGATGAACGGGAGGAGAGAAGTAGGGAAAGAGAGAATCAACTCCTTTTTGAAGCTCTTGTCCATGAAGAGAAAGAGTGGGAGAGGTTTAGGAGAAAAACAGAATCAAGAGAAAGTTATCTTTTTTGCTGATTTTTAAGTAGAAATGAGTGAGGTTTGTTCATGTTTCTGAGTTGGAAAGGGGGCAGAGAGGAAGAAGTTAAAGATCTATAAAGGAGGAAAAAGAAGGGAAATGTAAGAAATAGTGTAAAGGTGTATTCCAGTATTGCATTCATAGGTTTCATTTAAAAATTAAGATTTTTCTTTAAAAAAATTGATGCAAACTCCTACTCTGCCTTTTAATCAACAGGCTTTCTAATGCATTTGTAAAAATAAGTACTTGTAAATTTATTGTGAAACAGCCCAGAGAGACATCTGCAAAGCTGAGCAGTGTTCCAAAATTGAGCAAATATGTGGGTAGTTAGACCGCCTAGAGAATAATAGTACCTTACCTCATGTAGTACTTATTCCTCATGTGACTTTGTTCTACCAGCACCCAATGTATTGCTCCTCCACACCAAGCTGTGTGGTAATCAGGGAGGGAGTATAGTCTCTATTTCACAAGCTGGCAGTCCTGGATGACAGGTGACACACCCAAGGAGCCACAGCCAGGAAATGTTGAATTGTATCCTGCTGCTCTGTCTTCTCATTTCCTGGCCAGAGCATCTTTAATGAGCCCATTTGCCTCCCTGGTTATATTTCCTCTCATTTGTTTAGCCTCACAAAATGCGTTGACAACCATGGTTTCTTTTGATTATACTTCAATTTGAAAGAGCCAGGAAGGATTTCCGTAGAAGGATCCTGATGCTCAGAGGAGCACATTGCTGACTGAAGTGCCTTGCAACTCTGAAATTTTTTGAGTTCGAGTTATTGATCTGTGTCCTTAAGGGCACTTGTAACGAAAGTTTCATTCAGACATTTGTGAAGTTTTGTGGTCATCGCTTCAAATCTGTGGACACACAGAAGCAGTTATGAAGTGACTTTCTGAAAGTTACAGCTTGAGAATGACCATGATGACTTCTGATTGCCAGCCCAGGGGTTTTCTTACATCACATCAGGCTTGAGGAGGAGGGTGCCATGGTCACAAGCTTGCTGGAGATACTTGGCTGTTCTTCAGTAGTAGTACATGTCACTCTAGTCTGATTGGACATTTGTGGTGGGCAGGGCAGAAGGGTTTGAACTTTATGTGATAAGTGTGAGCAGCCACTTGAGGTCCTTAATCTAAGGGGGTAGTATGATTGAACTTCTGTTTTAGGAAGAATAGTCTGAGAGTGGTATCCTGGGTGAATTAAAGCAGAATAGTATTGTCTGGGAACTTGCTGGGCCCACCACAGGCCTACTGAGTCAGAAACTCTGGTGGTGGAGCTGAGCAGCATATTTTAACAAGCCCTCTGGTGAGTTATGTGTCTGTACAAATTCACTTTAGTCATGTCTGACTCTTTGTAACCCCTGGGCTTATAGCCTGCCAAGCTCCTCTGTCCATGGGATTCTCCAGTTAAGAATCCTGGAGTGGGTTGCCTTTTCCTCCTCCAAGGCATCTTCCCGACCCAGGGATTGAACGTGCATCTCTTAGGTCTCCTGCATTGGCAGACGGGTTCTTTACCAGTAGTGCCAGGTGAGTTGAATGCACGCAAAAGTTTGAGAGCCACCTAATCAAAGTAGAATCAAGGGGGATTTTTGGAGACTATTTCAGAATTCAGACTTTATGTGATGAAGCTCTCAGCTAATGTGGTGGCGGCGGAAGTGGACAGAACCACTGACCCCAAGATGTCTTTGAGAAGTTCTAGTCGAAGTGACACTTGCTGTCTTGGTCATTTCTTGTAGAACACACGGTAGCATCGATATTCTGGAGGGGAAGGAGGCTTAGTTTCACGTGAGCAGGTTAGTAAAGCGCTAAGAAGGGCTGAGTTCATTGTGTTGGGAGGTGCCGAACACCTGCGTTTGTTTCTGCCTCTAAGCTGGGCTTGCAAATACATCCCCCCAGGGGCCAGTGTGGCCAGCTGAGATGTGCAGGTGGTTGTTTGTATGGCACTGGGACCAGTAGCTGTTTCCAGCCCATTTCCTGGTAACAAAAGATGAGCTGTACTGAGAGAACTGGTGGGAGTGGAATTAAGAGAACAGGTGAAAGGTACACTGGAAAACCTACTGGTTGAAGGGAAGGGGTGATGAGAAAGGGAGTGGGGATTTCAGAGCTAGAAATTTCCTTTTGCTCTTTGAGTAAAATCCATCTTCTCTGCCCCTGTGGCTTCTGGTTTCTGCCTGATTTCTATCCTCATTTCCCCTCACTGTCTGCCATGCTCACCACATGCCCAGCTTAAAATCTCTCTTTTTCCCTCAGCCTAGCTATTCCCATATCTGCTTTCATTCTGTAGCACTCAGATGTCCCCTCTTTGAGAGCTTTCTATGAGCATCCTCTGTAATGTTGAGCCTCATCCCACCTGCTTTCCCAGCAGTTTCTTTTCCAGATGACTTATTGCAGGCTGAGGTCATCTGGGTTACTGGTCTCCCTCAGTCTGCTGTCCCTCCTCAGGAGAATGACAGGGCTTCCACAGTCAGGGACCCTGTGGGTCTTGTTCAGTGTTGTATTCCAAAACCTGGAAGAGTGCCTGGTGCATAGTTAGAACTCTCTAATGTTAGTTGAATGAATTTGGGGTAGAGATTTAATTGGGAGAGCGGGGAGGTGGGGGGAGAAAGTGAGGGAAGAGATATGTCTGTAGACAC